GTTCTAGAACATTTATCTCAAAGAACTACACAGAACCATAGAGATGGTATATTTGGTGAAGAGTTTAGAAAGAAAGTTAGGGAGAGAGAAGGAAGAGAACCTATTGTACATGACCTTGCAAACGAAAGTTTGCAAAATGTCATAAAAACTTACTTTGCAGACAATGAACTGAAGAAGGGATGAATATTTAAGAAAACTCAAATGGACAGTACCAAATGAAATGTTAGTATTGAAAAACATGTTCCTTGACAAAATAAAAACTACAGAAATAAATGACGCAAGACTGAAACATTGGGTAAAAGCTTTCCCATTCACAAAAGATATTATTGGTAACATGGAAAGAAAACCAGAATGGCTACAAAAACATATATTTGGAAACGAGCATATTCCATATGGACAAGCTATATTTGAAGAGCTTGAACCGGAAACTCAGGAAAGAGTCATGCAAACAATACGCGAAGACTCAAATACAAACTATGACAAAATCTTTCTAGGATATAGGTTACCTGAGATGGGCGACCAGAGCCCAAAGGCAAAAAGGACATGGGAAATTTACAACATACTAGGTGAACATGAGGCAAAGATGCAACAACTTGAAGCAGAGGGCAAGTTACCAAAAGCGACACCAAAGAAGAAGAGAAGAGTAGAACAAAGTGAAAGTAGTGAAGAAGTAACTTCATCTAGTGAAAGTAGTGGCAATGAAGGAAAAGAAGAGTTAAAAACTCAGTCAGGAAGAAAGTAAAGCTTGGTCCGAGTGGGTTCTATTATGATATATAAATCCAACTATTCTATATTTTTACCCATATGAAATGTACGCCGCTCAGAATATAACGCCAACAGTTTTGGATGCCATGAACGGAAATGTTTCCGAATGGTATAACGAATGCGACAATGCCATTAGAAGGTCAGAAATAGTTCCTGGAACTTACGAATATACAACTGCTGTTTCTTATGGAAACGTAGGTGAGTTTGGAGAAGGTTCTTCAACAACAGTAGATATTGCTTGCGACAGGTTTCATATTATTTCTATTGACAACTCATTCTTATACGTGGAACAAGACATTGAAATAAACCTTCTGCCAAGTTGTCTGTCAAGAAAGGTTGCAATGGAATTTTCTATGTCGGATACCAATATGCTCCAGAAGTTTTCATGGGATATAAGATATATTCTAACTCTGACTTAGTTCAAACAGTAACATGGGCAAACTATGAATGGTTCGCTTTGAGAAACTCAGTACAACCACAAGCTAGAGAAACAGACCAGTATGCAACTATTGAGAAAATAAGAAGACTTGACCCTAACGTTCCAGGAGTTTATGTTAACCTTTCTGGTTCAGATGGAACTGCTGCCACTAAAGTAAAACTGAAACTTAGAGTTCCTTTGTCATCTTTCCTCATCTTCAGGTTTTTAAGATACTTGCCAAACTGGGCAGGAAAAATTTCTATCGAACTTACTCCAAGCAAAAATAACTTAGTCATTGCACCAACACAAGACCCATTCACTCTTACAGACGTAAAGGGAACAAATCAAACGTCATTCGCCGAATTTTGCAAAGACAAAGTTGACTTAGACTTTGGTTTCTCAAACCTCAACACTGAAGTAAACTATTATTTCAATGCTGCTGGAGATGCTTGGGACCCAGTTAAGTTCACATGCGAAAAGTTTGAATGCAAGAGAATAGAAAGCAGACTTGCAGTCTATATGTTGGACCCAGATATTTCAAATGCTTTAGCTGCCAAATATATTGCAGTTCCACTTATGTTCCCTATACACCAAATATCTGTCAAAGACTTTGCAGGTGAAGTTGGAAACCAAAGTGCTGACCCAGGTGCAAGAACAGATATTGCTTTAACAACTGCAATGAAACATGCAGATACTATGTTTGTACTGTTCAGACGAACTATAAATGACTATTCTTGTTTCTACAACCCCGGTATTAAATATCATATAAACATAGATGGCAAATATTATCCAAGAGAAGAATATTCTACAGTTGAGGATATGAGGTCATACAACTTGACATTAGATGCTATGAACTTTAACAACAATTTCACAACAACCATTAACCCTGAAATGCAAAGTTCTATTATGCCATATGTGAAAGTATGGACTCATACAGGAGGTCAAAAAACTCAATATACAAATGGAGACCGTTCAAACTTTTGGCTTGGCATTCCATTTGCTGACTCAGAAGACTTTATGGGTGGTATTTCAACTGTTGGTACTGTACAAATACAATATACTGGTGACAGAGACGGTCCAGATGAACTGAGAACAAAGAAGTTTACAAAACCAATAGCACTTTTCACGGAAGATGCTCTTTTGAAGATTCGTTCGATGAAACCTGCTGGGGCTCCTCAGATTGGCATAACGACAGCTTCCATCGAGCAGATTTTGGCAGCAGGTCAGTAAGTTGTTCTTTGACACTTTTCTCACCATCGTAAATAGTTATGACACCAGTTTTGACATAATATTGTAAGATAAACTTACCTTTAGAAATATCTGTAAGTTTTGAAGTTATATTTTTGTCTGCTTCAAGAACTTTCACCATTTCAGTTATACCAACTTTCTTTGCTTTATGGAAATATTTTGGTTCAGCAAATATTGCTATTCTATAACATTTACCATTGTTTGTATAAAGAACTATTCTGTCAATGTATTTGTATTGTTTGTGTGTGTAAACTTTGTTCTGCTTCAATTCGAAGAGATACTCGAATACGTCCATCTTTTTATTCTAAGTAAAATGTCATTTCCGAAAAATAGAAGCGTGAGTGTTTCAAAAGGTTTAATGGCGGTGGCAGATGTGAAGTTAAATTCACCAACTCAAACAAACAGTCAAAGTGTTATTGTCAATGTCAAAGACAGAGATGTTGAAGTGGGGAAACCATACGAAGACGAAGATGGTATAGCAATTGTTCCTGTAAAAGAACAACCAACATATCCTGAAGTTAGCAGAGACTTAAGTTCTGTTGCAGATATTCGAAACGACTACCAACAACTGAAAGACAAACTTCAAACTCAGGAGAAGATTTGTCAGGCTTTAAGTATAATGTTAAACTTGGTCGAACACAACCCTGTAAAAGTGAACTCATATGTCATTGCACCTCATGAAGTTTTGAAAGAACTATTGAAACTTTTGACAGAGGCAGACGATATAAACATCAAAGAAATAGAACCCGACATTAGTTGCTGTGGTGTTTCATATAATGTCATTGACAAGATATACGTTATGAAAGGAGGTGAAACGTTGAACTTAAAGTATAGTTTCCCAGACGTCATAAAAATATTTGACGACCACAACATTTCATTAAAATTTATTTGCTAAGTAAAAATGTCAAAACTTCTTGAAAGATGTTTGAAGAAAAATAATATAGACTTTATTTCATGTAAAGGACTTTACACACTTTTGAACGATATGAAAGACCCTGTTTTGTTTGTTCGTGTAGACAAAGGAAAGTTCTATGTCTTTACAAAATATTTGAACTTCTTAGACAGAGAACTTCAAGAAACGCCATGTGAAAGTTTAGATGAAGTTCTTCTCCACTTTCAGAAAAACTTTTAAATATATATAAATGGCAGAAGATATAATGGTTTATACTATTACGACTAAAAACCCTGAGTCATATAATTCTATAACAACAAACTTACAAAGTCCTCAAGGACGATATTGTAAACTAACCTTAAACACAATGACGACTAAAGCCTGTTTTGCTCTTTTGACACCAGAAGACTTTATTGTTGTGAATGGTAAAAAATACTCCTTTGAAGATACTTACTCAGATATACCACCAACAGGTTTTGTTGACTTATTTAATACTTTAAGTACGGGTGTAACATGTGCTGCAACTAGAGCAGGTTTCATTATGTTTGGATGTCCGACTGAGTTTACTATAAACAATATGAGCTATAATACAAAACTTATTTCTGGTTTTTACTACCAACAGTTTCCTATAACAGGAAAAGGTGTCATACAAGGAATGTCTATTCCATTGACATTAAGCACACCAATCTTATATATTGTTTCAAACTTAGGTTCAAAGTGCTATTCGAATGTCGACAGAAACTACTATGACCAAAAGATACTTATGCGTATAAACAATACTTTCTCTGCTGGTTTGCCTATTGTTCATTCGAATGCAGAATTTTCAACCTTAGTGAACTCAAACACTTTGGCAAGTATAACGTTGACATTAGTTGACGCAAACTTTGTTCCTGTAAAACTTTTATGTCCTATGTATTTGTCAATGACGGCAGAAAGTTTCGAATTGGAAGATGCAACTGGTGAAAGTATTGTATTACAAGAACAACTTCAACAACAAATAGCTCAAGAACAACAAATGCAACAAATGGAACAACAAAGTCAAGAATAAAAAAATATTATTTTTTTATTTTTATAAAAATGTACAGAATAGATGTTTCAGATTTTTATGACTTCCAAGCATTCAGAAATATGTGTCCATTTCGAGACTATAACAAAGCAGTCGAAAATTTGAAACGTTTAGTCATTTATGTTGACTCTGCCCCAGAATGTTATGTCATGAAAGAATGGGATGTTGTCTTTAACAAACCAAGAGCAACAATAGTGTCTGAACAAGAATGTAGACAGAAACTTAAGAAAATAAAAGTCGTACAAGTTGGCATGAAGATGTTAGATGCTTGGGATATCTTATTGTCAAAGTTAGAAGATTTTTCAGTTCGAGGTATAAAGTTCTATACACCTTCTCCAAACTTCTATTCTATCTTCACTGGATATAAATACGAACAAGTAGAATGGAAAGAAAATATTATAGAAGCTTGGTTAGACCATGTCAAAGAAATTATATGCAATGGAAACGAAAAGGTTTATGAGTATATCTTATGTTGGTTTGCAAACATCTTACAACATCCAAGTGCTAAAAATGAAACTGCTCTCATTATAATTGGAAAACAAGGAACAGGTAAGAATACTTTCTTTACAGATATCTTATGCAAACTGTTAGAAGGTTATTCGAACCCTAATATGACAAACTTAGAAAACATCTGTGGCAAGTTTAACTCCTCAATAGAGAATATGAAACTTATAGTTTGCAATGAACTTCAAAGTATAGATACAACAAAAGTTTTGAACTCAGATGCTTTGAAGAGTCTTATAACAGACAAAGTTGGAGTTGTTGAAAGAAAGTATAAAGACCAAAGAGTTTGTGAAAATGTTGCAAACTTCATTATGGTTTCAAACAATGCTGTTCCGATGAAGTTAGAAAGTTCTGACAGAAGATATGTAGTTGTCAGAACGTCAGATTCTCATATGCAAGATACAGAATATTTTGACGACTTAGCAGAAACTTTGACATCTGACTTTTACAACCACTTGTTCTCATATTTCATGACATTAGATATTTCTAAGTTCAATCCAAGACAAATTCCACATACCGAAGAGAGACAAACATTGTTAGAAGCAAACAAGAGTGTATATGAACTGTTCATAGATGAAACTGACTTTGTGTCATTAGATGAAAGGTCATTGTACGATTCGTATAAACAATATTGTCAAGAATATGGTTATATGACAGCGTCTAAACGAACATTCTTGGCAAATGTCAAAAGTCTTTTAGATGTTCAGAATGGTGTATATACAAAGAAAAATTTTTCTGAGTAAATTTAAAAAAAAATCTTTTTTTATCCGATAGAAAAGATGGCAAAATTCATCTCAGTAAATAAGTACATGTCAGGACTTAAAGAAGAACTAGACCCATTCACATATTTGAATGTTTACTTCTACCATTTTGAAAAGTCTTCATTCAGCAAAGTTTGGAACATCGAACCAGTTAAGTTTGCTATTGTGACTAAAAATGGTGCGAAATTTGAAGACTTAGACATAGAAGGTTTGTTAGCAGTCAAAGAAAATTTTGACAGAAGGTTCTCAAACCTTAAAGAAGGCAAAGCATACAAACTTGTTATACCTTATGAACCAAAGAAAGCAGACGACTATGAATATTATGAGTCTAAAGTTGTAGAAGTTCAAGGTAAATTGGGTAAAAAAGATTTTAGAGTCTAAGCCAGTGTTTACTCCTAAAGAGGAAGAGAACATTGACATTGACCCAGAAATGTTCTAAAAATAAAATTTTATTTTTACATGTCATATCTCCCCTTCTCTGGAACTGGTTCAGGTTCTTTCTTCTCTTCTTCTACTTTCTTTTCTTTCTTTTCTCTCTTCTTCTTTTCTGGTGGAGTTATGTCAAATTTGGCGCAACCATATTTATGTAAAAGTTCTTTGTCCTTTAATAGCTCATCTATTCTGTTTTTTATTTCATCTTCAAGAACAGCGCATGTGTCTTCTTTGCATTCTAAGAAGTTTTGTTGGACTTCATCTCTCCAAGAGGCGTCATCTCTGTCAACAAGTCTGTCATTGACAAATTTTAAGACTGCTCTGCTTAATGTTTTATGGTTCTTGTCATATTCCCAGAAACAGAACTTTAGAACAAATTCACCTTTCTTGTTTACACTATGTAAGATTTTATGGTCGACAGATGTTTTGCTGTCGAAAAGCTTGTCTCGAATATAGATAGCGAAATCGCTAGACATTTTCTAAAAGATAAAAATTTTAATTTTTCTAAAAATATGTTAGAAAAAAAGTTTGCTGACATTGACAAGAAATTTGAGAATTTTTAAACAAGAACAAGAGGAAGTTAGAAAATGCTCAGATAAAACCCATACATGACAAGTTCTTATTTGCTCAGAATGGTATAACAGGTCTAATTGCACCACCTGGGTCGGGTAAGACTTTCACTTATCTTAAAATGGCTGCACAACAACAAGAACTAGATGAGAAGAACCCATTCTATGAGTTAGTTGTCATTTGTAGTACTTCTGGTCAATTTGACCAAACCGTCAATTCGTTCAAAGATATTATAAAGAAGTCTAAGTTAGTATGTATAAAGGATACTGAGTTGTTAGATTGGATAAAGAAGTACCAAAGAAGAGTTTTGAAGTATAATGCTATAAATGAGTATATAAATTCTAAGTTTAAAGACCCAAATGAGGAAATGCAGAGAATATTAGAGAAGAAACACTTCAGAAACAAACAGAAAGAGATAGAATACATTTCGAAGAAATTGCAATCTTACGATTGGAAGACCTACCCTCATAGATGTCTTCTTATCTTAGATGATTTCGCCTCTCATCCTTTGTTAAAGAACAGAGAACAAGATATGTGTCGAATTCTTAAGAAGCTCAGACACTTTAACATCTCAGTTGTCATTTGTGTACAGACAGCAAAGAGTTTAAGTAAGGATGTTAAAAGAATACTTACTGACATTATACTTTTCCCCGGATTGTCCGAAGACGATTTCATGGAACTTATGAAAGAGTCCATGGCAGGTAAGTTTGACAGACATGAACTATGGGAGAAGTACAAAGTCATACAAGACCCTCATACTTCTTTCAGAATTCATATCTATGCGAACAAAGTTCAAATTGTAAAAAGTCAAGCTTGAAAAATGTAAGTGTTTAGTCTTAGTAAGTCTGTTGTGGTGCTGGGGCTGTCGGTTCTTCTGGCTTTGGAAGGCATTCAGGAAGAGGAACGTCAGTCATCCGTTTGTGTCCTGTCGGAAGGAAGAACTTTTCCTGTTGGAAGGAAGAACTTTTCCTGTTGGAAGGAAAATTTTTTTCCTGTCGGATGGAAAAATTTTTCCTGTCGGATGGAAAATTTTTTTCTGAAGTTCGACCAAAAAGTTCTCAATTTTCGAAAATTTGAATGGTTTACGGACGGACAACTGGAAAATTTTTTCTTGTCGGATGGAAAATTTTTTCTTGTCGTCGGGAAATTTTTTTCTGTCGGAATGAAATTTTTTTCCAGTTGTCGGGAAAATATTTTTCTGTCGGAAGGAAGGACTCGGAATGCCAGAAGGATTTGACGAGGCAATTTACTTTATAGAGCTACCTGAGCCATCTGAAGTCAAGCGTAAAAATAAAGAGTTCATCTACCCTACTTGTTTGAAGTTGTCAAAATACTCTGTTATTTTTTCCTTCAGTAGCGGTAAGTCTTCTTTGAAGGTAAGTATTGTACAACCTTTCATATCATAGTGTGTTTGAGGTAACGTATCTTGAACTATTTGTTTCACATCTTCATTCGGTGTCATTGAAATCGGTAAGTTTTCGCGATAGAACCAATTTCTGTCAGATTTGTAAATCTTAGCAAGGTCGTAAAAGCTTTTGTTGTTTCTTCTGACTAAATGCAAGATAACCATATCTTTATCTTCTTCATTTTCCATCTCTTCAGTATAAATCATATACTTATAGTTCTTTTCCTTTCCTTTTGGTACCGAACGTGGTATTCTTTTCTGAATGCTTTTGTCTTTTGCTTCAATGACTTCATCTTTTGCATGAAGTTTCTTTTCCATATCTTCACGTTCTTGTCTATGAATTTCATCTAACATCATGAAAATATAACAAGCGTAACGAGGTGAAGCCCACATTGCAACAGCATTTACAAGAAGTCTATGTACATAATATCCTCTTAAATTTATTGGCAAATTCTTACGATTTTCATACGGAATCTCATTCCTCGGTTTTTCGAGGGAAGCAAACATATGAGGAAATTCTTCTAAAAGTTCTTTTGTCTGTTGGTTTTCAAACCAATGATATGCTTGCTTTGTAGAACGAAGAGCATTCAAAATACTTTGCATTTGGTACATATCGTCTTTGACCGAACGAATGAGACGGAGTTGTTTGTTAAACTGTATGTACTCATATTCTTCATTTATAGCTTCATGAACGATAGCAGTTGTTGTGTTCTCTGTTGTTGACATATCTGTCTTTACATACAAAATAAAAAAATAAATAAAAATAAAACTAACTTTATTTTTTCTGTCTTAAGGAAACTCACGATTTTTGTGCTGAATTCAATAAAAATATAATTTAGGGTAGAAGGTTAGATCTAACCTCCTTTCTACCCTCTTTTCTACCCCAGTTATTTTATAAACGTTTTACATGGTAAACGTTATTTTTTAAATTTTGTGAAAACTCAACGGTTTGACACATGCCCTAAAAATTATAGTTCATCTAACATCATGTAAACATGCCATGCATAACGAGGAGAAGCCCACATTGCAACTGCATTTACAAGAAGTCTATGTACATACCAACCTCTCAAACCATTTGGCAAATTTTTACGATTTTCATGTGTTTTATGCAAGGCCGGAAAAAATCGGTCTAGAGAAATTTCACTGTTTTCATGAGTTTTAGGCGACCCCGAAGGAAGTCGGTCTCGCTGTTCTTCACTGTTTTCAGAAAAAAGTCGGTCTCGCTGTGCTTCACTCAAAAGTTCTTGTGTGCTTTGGTTTTTGAACCAGTCGTCTGCGTGTTTAGTGTCTGGAGCAAAACATGCTGTCAAAATACTTTGCATCTGGTACATATCGTCTTTGACCGAACGAATGAGACGGAGTTGTTTGTTAAACTGTATGTACTCATATTCTTCATTTATAGCTTCATGGACTATAACTGTTGTTGTGTTCTCGGTTGTTGACATATCTGTCTTTACATACAAAATAAAAAAAATATTTTATAAAAAATTAGCGTTATTTTCTGACTTTCACAAAAGACCAAAAATAAACGCTTTACATGTATTTTTCAGCAACTTCGTCAAATAATTTTATAGCTTTATCTATCTCATCTACTTCAAACGTTTCTTTACCTTTTATGGGAGCACCATACATTTTCTCAAACTTTTCAAGTAGTTCTGTTTCAGCAGCTCTCATATCGTTAACGAACACAACCTTAACTCTATTGACTGTACTGTCATATCTTTGAGTTATATTATATGTTCTTCCTATCTTATATCTCTTTGTATTGAAGTCCTTCGGTTTCTGAACGATGTAAAGTAAGCCTTCACTGCAACGTTCCGTATCGAATGAACCATAAGTTATGAAGTTATATCCAACAACTGGGTCTAACCATAACAAAACTATTGGTATAAGACTTTTGTCTATAAGATATGCTGTAGTTCCATAGAATCTTACCGATATCATAAGCTCAGGATTTCTTGTCAAAATTTTCTGAGTTGAAGCAATTCCAACCCAATGGTATGTTTTCTTTCCAGATGGAGATAAAATGTCTGACAAAGAATATTTGTTGTATTTCTTTGAGTATCTTACGTTTAAATCACCTATTCTAACCACTTTGGTGTCATTGTCTATCTTTTTAACTGTTTCAAACTCAGTGTTTGTCATTTTTGTTCTTACATACAAAATAAAAAAAATAAATAAAATAAAACTAACTTTATTTTTTCTATCTTAAGGAAATTCACGATTTTCATAGAGTTTTATGCAAGACCAGGTTTTTTTCCCTGGTCGCTGTTCTTCACGATTTTCATGTGTTTTAGGCAAGGCCGGTAAAATCCGGTCTAGAGAAATTTCATGATTTTCATAGAGTTTTATGCAAGACCAGGTTTTTTTCCCTGGTCGCTGTTCTTCACGATTTTCATGTGTTTTAGGCAAGGCCGGTAAAATCCGGTCTAGAGAAATTTCACGATTTTCATACGGAATCTCTTCTCTCGGTTTTTCCGAGGGAAGCAATCTTATGCCATTTTACTCAGATTTTTGGTCATTTTTCAGCAAAAATAATGTTTAGGGTAGAAGGTTAGATCTAACCTCCTTTCTA